TTCCTTGAATGAGCAATACAGGAAAGAAATAGATCGCATGAAGCAGAGTCAAAGAGATATAGAGGAAATTAAAATCTCAATCACAAGCTTGCAAAACCGTTTAAGTGAAAATGAAGACAGAGTTTCGGATCTTGAAGATGCTGGTGCAGCTAGTGAAAAGGTAAGAAAGGATCTCTTAAAAGCAACGAGGATGCAGGAAAGAGTAATCCATCACCTGCAAGATGATGCAAAGATGAACAATGTGAGACTAATAGGCATCAATGAGAACGAAGGAGTAAATATAAATGACATTAAAAAAATATGGGCAGAAGTAATAGCACAAAACTAACCAAATATGAGGAAACAATCTGACATTCAGGTAACTGAAGCATACAGAATGCCAAGGAACCTCAACCCAATGAAAAACACACTGAGACATATAATATTCAAGATCCCAGAAATTCAGCACAAGAATAGTATATGGAAAGCTGCTGGAGAAAAGAAGCAGATCACATTCAAATGAAAACCCATCTGAATTACAGCCGACTTCTCTTCAAAAACCACGAAGGCAAGAAGAGCATGGAGCAGAGTACTTCAAGTCCTCTATGAAAAAATTCCAGCCCAGACTACTACACCCTGCAAAACTCTCAAGTTTGATGGAGAAGTGAAATACTTTCATGACAAAGAACAGCTAAAGAATTTTGTGATGACAACGCCAACCCTACACAGGCTACTGAAAGATGTTCTAGAGAGGGAACAAAATAATCAGAACTCCACAAATGAGATCAGAAGCAACCAACTAAATAGGGCAAGCAATTAAACACAGGAGAAAACGGAGTAAACAACGATAGGTAAATAACATGTCAACCATAAGTCAATACATCTCAATTCTAACCATCAATGTAAATGGACTGAGTCTAAGAGAAATAGACTGGCACAGTGGGTCAGGAAACAAAATACAACAATATGCTGTGTACAAGAAACACATTTAACTCATAAAGACATTCATAGGCTGAAAGTCAAAGGACGGAACACAATACTACATGCC